TATAAAAAAAAAAAAAAAAAAATGGAAGAGGGGTTAATGAGAAAAATACTGGGCTAACTGTGCAATCTTTACTCCAATGCTGTGCAACTTCTTTCTTGTTATGAAACTATTACAAGTTTCTCAGGACCCTAGGTTGTCCTCCATCCTCTTCTAATGCCGGTTATACAAAGCAACTTCAGGAAAATGGTGATGCATTACTGACTCGAAAACAATGTGTTGGAAACCTGTGTCTATGCCTCTCATCTGCACTGCCAAGAGTTCTATAACACAATCTCAGTGTCTGGCCAAGATCAGCTAGTGGATGAATACAATTGACTGGGGCTGGATCCACACAAAGCAATGATAATAAGAGGAGGAAAAGATCTGGTCACTACGACAAAGTCTCTGAACACCAACCATCTGTCATCCTACAACCATCACATGGGTTCATGACTTAGATGTTCTAGGCCTGGGACTTTTGACCAACCAGCTGGCACTGGCCTATGAAATCCAGCACCATCTCTATATGAATAATAGTTTTTGCTCTACCAGCACCAGTACAAACTCCCTGCAAACAAACAACTTGGAATGAGCATAAAGATAAAAGGAAGAAAGCTGGCAGAGATTCAGGCTCTGTCCTGAGACTCAGAAGACCTAGGTTCAGTTCCCTGGTCCATACAGACCTTATGAGAGATACTGGGCAAGTCATTTAGCTTCAGACTTTCCCACTGATTTCAATGGGAAATCGATGCCAACTATGTGCCTAAATACTTTGGAGGATCCATACTTTAAATCTCACAGCTTCTGTATCTAGGAAGTGGGGTAACAGCATTTCTGTAGCATGAACTGAACTAACATAGCTGATGTTAACATAAAGTGTAATAGTAGTAAAATGTAACCATGTTAGTCTTGTCCTGTAAGCAATTTAAAAACTCCATTTTGTGTCCTGCTTGACATACGTGAATGAACTCTGCATAGCCTTTGTGTATGAGTGTGTGTAAAAGGGTAAATGGTGAGAAAATGGCATAGAGACAGGAAAAAAAGATTTAACTATTTATGTAAGCAACAAGGCGCCAAATGTAAGCTACCAGTCAGTAAACTAATTAATGAATGGCTGAAGAATCTCTTTTAGGTATAGGGCTCAAAGAAGATAACAAGGAGAAAGAATGCACCCATCCTGCCAGACTGGCAGCAAGAACACTGCAAGGCTGAGATAAGCTGAAGACAAAAGAAAAACAACGGCAAAAACAGAAGCTGAGTATGGAAAAACCCCAAAGCACTGAAACAAAGGATGCCAATCCCTATAAAAGAACACTTTGAAAATGCCAAGTTAGGTGAGTGTCTTTCTCTACTGCTGATTCATCGGAGCACAGATGCATCTGTTCACCCCGCTCCAGCTGTTTCTCAAATATGCTATCTTCAAATCATCATCATCTACTCAATAAACCCGGGTTGGCCACCCTGGGCTGATATTGAGCAACTACTGCTGGTAATTATATTTGGTGTGTGTGTGGATGGAATGGTTGTTTTGTGTATGTGTATGCCTGTGTGTAATGATGTTTATAATGATCTGTGTGTGTTTGTATGAATGGTGTGTCTGAACCTCTATGTCTAACTCATTTAATCAATAAATGCAGCACCTTGCCTTATCCCCCGCTTTATAAAGTCTTGCTCGTGATTTCAGCAATTAGCAATTTGTGTAACACTTCTCCATTTCACAGGGATAGTGGGTAGAAAAAACAAACACATTATAGTCTTATGTACACAGATGTGCACATAATCCATAATCCAAGGGTGGGATTTAAAGGTTTTTTTAATGTTTTTTTTATTTACTTTTTGGAACATAGAAACAAAGATTCAGGAATCAGGATGCCTTGTGTGATTCATTCACCAAGCATGGCCTCACCTTGCAGAGACTATACAGTATGATCAGGATGCCCCCTAAGAAGTAACTGCCAGATGGATCATCTCCTATGATGTATTTGTACCACAACTGGATGGGAACAAGGGAGCGGAACAGCTGGCTCACTTCTTCAATAACCAGATAAAACTTTCCCTGTAAAAAATGAAATCACACAGGTTATTATTGTCAGCCAGGACTCAAGAGAAGAGAAAGATGCATACATAAAAACTTCATTCCACTGTTACCTTGTACTCCTTCTATTTATTTTATCCATCTGTTATCTATAGTCTTATATCTTAGTTTATCGGTTTATAAACTTTTCAAGGAAGGGAGTCTTCCTTTTATGTTTGCTGGAGTACCTAGCAAAGAGGGCCCCAGTCTATATGCATTACTGTACTGTGAACAACCACCATGGCTAATACATAAGAAAAGGAGTCCAGAACATGTCTGTTTCCCCATCCCCTTTGGCCTGAAAATGCAAAAATACAAACATATGAACAGCTATGTACCCCTGGCAATTTACTGGAGAACCATAGTCAATCTAGTTCCAAAGCCTCAATCTTGCTTTCTAGTAGGCCCCTGTTTGTAGGGTGGCACTAGTTCTCAAATATGTACTTTAACACACAAAGGCTGGCTCTGAAACACAAACTGTGGTTTCAGAGTTTCTAATTCTCCCTTGAGTCTTATGGAAAAGAAAGGGTTAGTCCAATAAATATATCTGCTCTATATATACTCATTTACTTACAGACTTGTATCCCATGCCCTTTTAAAACTTTCACTGGTACAATCTTTCTATACTGGTGATTATTCTAGGTTTGAAACCATTTGTTCTTGTGAGGGACACCATCAAGGTTCCATCATTTACCTCTTGGTTTATAGTGATTTTGGGAGGTTACAGCGGAAACATATTTTCTTACACACTGGGTGCATCTACATGAGATGCTTATTGCATGTTAACCTACTACTGTGCAGCAGCATGCCAGGCAAGAACCCTGCTAATATGCTACTGTGAAGTGTTATTAGGCTAATGCACAGTAAGCACCACAAAATAACCATGCGCCATTTCGTTAGTACTTCATTAGGCAAATACTAAACTAAACATGCAGTAACTAAGGCGCATTAATGAATGTGCAGACATACCCACTGTCTATTACTCCAAAGCAGCCAGAGCCAGTACTGAGAAGCTGGCCTTAGGTGCAAGATCTAATTTTCAAATTTGACAGAAATCTCTTTATGGTTTTTTTGCTCGTTGTCTAAAAGAAAAAACTGATGTCAGGGTAATGGGGTTCAATGGAGGTCAGAAACATAAACAAATAGTACAGTTACAGTCGTGTTACTTGGCATAAAAGATTTATATTTTCAGATGTCAAGATTTTTTAATTGATAAGGGCAGGAAGGGGAGGGAAAAATTCCCCTGGAATTCTGCTGTGTGTTACCACTGAAACTCTGTCACTGATGATGTCATTGCAGGTCATGGTCATTAAATAGCCATCGATGAGGCGCGGAGGAGGAAATGAGTCCTCTGCAGTCCGAGAGGAAAGCAGCAGCCAGCGCACCCTCCCTCTGGGTCTCAGAGATGAGATCACTCAGCAGGCTGTCCTGCTGCACTGAACAAATCGAATCCTTCAGAGAGCTCTGGCATTCTCATGATCTCATACCCCCCTTGAGACAGTGAGTGAGGTCACATCAGCAGTTGCTAAAGGACCTGGGGTTTTTTTCCCCTCCCCCAGCCCCTCCTCCTTTTAATCCCATGAGGCATCACATAGCAAAAATGTAACAGCAACAATCTGGAAGCCTAAATGCAAGCAATTTATTAAATTAGCATGAAGAGTTCTCTAACCAGACTCATGCTTCCATACAATCATCGTTTATTTCATAAGCCCCCGTGACAGAGGGTCGCAGTTTGCTAATGACTACTCTTGTCACTTCCTTCCTTTCACACAGGCAGCTTTCCACCCTCCCTCTTACCAAACCCTGATGAAAGCAAACAGCAAGCCAAATGCACTGCAAACACTTAAAGCAAGCACCTTACTGACTCTCCTCTTTATTCCCTTCTCCCATCAGGCTCTTTCATCCAAACCTGCATCTCTAACAGATTGTGCTGGTACAAGTCTATGCTCATTAGCATGAGAAGGGACATGTGAAACCTTTGGATGATCAAGAGTTTGTAATCAGTTCTATAAAGCTGGGAGCTGGCCAGATCTAAAGTTAAGCTCCTTCAGCATTTTTGAGCTTCACAGGAGTGAAGAACAAGACAAGGTGCTGGGAAGGTGGATACAGAGCACAAAAGCAGCCAAGTGAGCTCTAAAAAGGGTATGAAGGCACAGAAAGAGGCAGAGTTGTGCAGAGAGGCACCTGCAGTAAGTGAGAGGATTCTGGCTCTGTAAACCAGAGTGCTTCCATTCCTACAAAGGTTAGAAACACTAATGCAATACCAGAGTCAATACCCCTGGGCTAGTACATGCAATACGTTTTACTCGTAACTATAGGACTTGAAGGCTTCTTGGCAGCTAGAAACACATGAACATCCCCAAAACCACAAAACTGAGAGGCTGAAATCAACACACACCATCCTAACTGAACTGCAGTACTAGTATGACCATTCAAGAGAAGCAGAAAACAGGGTAGATTTGCCCCTTATAGACTAACTAAATAAGCGGGGCATAGGTTTTCATAGGCAGTGTCTTGCTTCATCAGATGCTATGAAAGGACTGTAGGAAGCAGAGCTTTTAAACAGAAAACAGTTATTAGAAAAGAAAGGGTCAGGAAGCAGGAGGAAAACAGAGGGGGCCCAGCTGGGAGAACCAAGGTAGGTAGAAGAGAGAAAAACAAAGCAGTTAATCCACTGAGGGACAGAGAGGTTATAAAAGCTAATGCAGGTCAAAATCCGTAGTCTGTGGATGATTTCTTATTCCACAATTTCTTGTTCAAGTTCATTTGTAAAGTTTTGTTGTCTAAGAACAGCTACTCTGAGGTCAGTGATGGAATATCCAGGGAGATTAAAGTGCTCTACTGTGTCTTTTTCTGGAATTGATGTTGGATAGGTGTTTATTTATTCTTACTTGTAGCTCTGTCCAGTGTAGATGAGAGACAGGCACTGTAAGCAGAGGTGATGGCATAAATGACATTGGTAGAGGAGCAGGTGAATAAACCTCTGATGTTAAAAACCATGCTATTTGGTCCAGTGATGATGTGCTCTGTTGTTGAGGGGGCACAGCTGGCATCTGGGTCTGGAGCCTTGGTAAGAATAAGAGATAAGTAGTCTGTTGCTGAAGAGATGCCACTGGAAGTTGGAGGGCTGTCTGTAAGCCAGGACATGTTTGTTCCCTGAGCTTCCCTTAGACAGTTGTCATTTTCTAGGGGTGCTTGGAGGCGATTAATGACGTGTCTGAGGTGTTCAAGCTGGGTGCTGTAGGTGACAGCCAAAGGGATTCTCTTTGTCATTATCTTGGGGTTGGTACTGTAACAGGTCAGAGCACGGTCTGAGTTTGGCTCTGTTGATGTGAATGGCTAGAGTTTTAGAGTTCTATTGTAAGTGTAGGAATCCCTGCCCCAGATCTTCAAGGTGTGCATCCCGGTCACTGGGATCAGAGCAGATGTAGTTGTAACATACAGCTTGGCTGTAGACAATGGATGGAACGGGAAATTGTGAACTTGAACAGGAAACTGGGGCACAAGGAATCACCCACAGATGGAATGCATTAAATATGGTCTCAACCAAGACTATGGATTCTTATCCCACTACCTGGATGAGCTTTTATAACCTCTCTATCCGCAGTGGGTTAACTGCTTTGTTTTTTTCTCTCCTACCTACCTTACCCAAAGACGACCAAAGTGATGTTTCAACCTGCGCATGGCACAACACCCCAGGAACCACACGTCTCAGTTAAAGGCCAACAACTGTCGATGGTCGACAAGTTTGTCTATCTAGGCAGCACACTCTTCCATGCTGTCCACATCAATGACAAACTCGGTAAGTCGGCCGGTGACTGCAGAGGCATTGGCACGTTAATGAAATTGAAGGTATACAAAGCCATAATTCTCTCAACCCTCCTCTATGCCTGCAAAACCTGGACTGTCTACTAACATCATGATACTAAAGATCAAGTGGCATGAAAAGATCCCGGACACTGAGGTGCTCAGAAGATCAGCTCTCCCCAGCATTCACGCTCTACTGAAACTGGTGCAGCTAAGATGGGCCAGCCACCTTTCAAAAATGCCTGACACTCACCTGCCGAAGAAAATCTTCTACGGCAAACTGTCAAATGGAGTATGCTGTCACGGTGCACCAAAGAAGTGGTACAAGCACACCCTGAAAGGTGTCCCTAAAGAGTTTCGGCATCGACTCAGGTTTCTGGGAGTAAATTGCTTGTGACCATCCATCCTGGAGGTCATCAATCCAGAACAGAGCATTGCACAGCAGAAGCAATAAAGAAACACATGGCCAGGAAAACAAAATCCTCTTGTACCCAGTCCTCATCACTTTCCTGCCCTTGTTGCTGCAGATTGTTCAAGGCAAAGATTGGGCTTATAAACCACCTGTGCACCCACACAACCTAGCCTCTACCCGCCTCCTGTTGCTCTTTTCTCTTTTTTTTCTCCTTTTCTCCCCCCCATTTCTTTCCCATTTCTTCCCCCCCACACTGCTGGATTTGGTTGTCTTCATCCCCAAAGGACAACAACACACCTCCTTTGCCTCTCCCAACAGTGCCCCTCCTTTTTGCTCCTGCTTCCCTATCCTTTGTATTCTAATCCAATCATGGCTTTCTATTTAAAAGATCTGCTTCCTACAGTTCCTTCATAATATCTGACGAAGTAAGCCATGGCTTACAAAAGCTTATGCATCTATGATTTAGTTAGTCTAAGGTGGAAGCCTACTCTGCCTTCTGCTTGACTTCAAACACCTCTCCATTCAAGAGAAGGCAGCCATCAAATACAATCATGAAGTTGTAGGAGGTGATCACAACCATGCAGAATGCAACTACACAGAGAGCTAAATATGAACTAATAAAATAGAAGGAAACAGTCACCATATTTAATATCACCCCAACAAAGCTAAAAGTGTTCTATCGTAAAGGCTGGCAATACAGAGCCTGCACCCATTACATATAACAACCCTCAGCCCTCTAGGAGAGCGATCTATAAGGCTGTCC